TGAGTACATATGCAAAAAAAAGGCGATTACTTTCAAGTTCGGTTCTTTAACTTTGAAGGAGCTGTTGTATTTTGTACTCTTTCTTACTCCTTGAATTCTTTGGCGTCATGCCATGAGTTTTTGTCCTTGATAATGCATCAACTCTAGTTCTAATTAAGATCTCGTCGACATGTTTAACCGACATGAACGTAACTGAATTAGTACWGTACTCAATTTCTCTCTAAAGGTTGGAGGGTCAAATCCCTACTCTCCATTGAACTTAAAAAACAATCTAATTAAGATTTTTATTGTGTCACTTGATATGGGATGATTGAGATTTCTTACCTTAATTATTGAATTAGTTGTCTAGTCGATGTGATGTGACCTAATAAGCAAGTGGACACGATGTCATATATAAAATTTAAAATATCGCTTTAAATTTTTAATGGCGTCATATCTACTTAATTTTCAAGTCATCATTATTGTAGGTACTATTTTCTATTTAGATCGAGCATTTATGAGATGTTTGACAGGTTGAYAGTGATAAGAACCAAATACGCCTTTATATAGTCTTAGATAAAATTAATTCTAAAATATSAAGGAACAATCAATACAAAATAATTAACCTATAATTAACAAATTGACACCTATAATTAACTGAATCAACATAACTAACGTATTATTCTTCATCGAGATYGTCGTAGCGGTAAARCAACTTAAGTTTGTAAAACGTGTTTGGTTAGTGAATTCGTGCTTGCATTACTTATGGGTTTGCTGTAGCGATAAAGTAACTTAAGTTTGTGAAACATATTTGGTTCGTGAATTCGTGATTTATAGGCCTGAGTTTATACTTAATTGGCCGGATTAGTAAACTTATAGTTCAGAACAAACCGTTCCATATATTAAAGATATATTCAATATCTCAATTTCAAACCATACAAACTTCACCCATGACATGTGTCACACAAATATCTGATGTGGAGTTATCCTAAATGTGAGGTGTAATGGATGTGCCAACTGAAATCCAATCCACCAACTAATGGTTCAACATCTTTTGGTTTTCAAAGTCAAAAAGTGGGCAAAAAGGCAATGGAATGTGTTTCCACTTTAGAGAAAATGGAGACACAGTTTTGAATTTTGCCACAGAAAATTGCATTTGAGATGCAGACCTTCATGAGACAGCTGTCGGCGCATAATTGGCTCGCGGTAGAGCCATTGTTTTTTATCAACTCATTGTTTGTCATCTCATCAACTCACAAAACATCACTATGGATAAGAAAAATACTTATTTATGATATGTAGTCTACGCTCCGTTTACGATCGCCAAACCAAACATAGTTTAAGTGGTTAAAGTATCTGAYCAATAGGTCATGAATTCGAATCCCCAATCCCACATATTATACTCAAAAAACAAAAAATGTTTACGATCTATAAAAATTTGACAATTTTTAAAWTTTTTTAAAAACATAAAATACGAGTGCTGATATTATGTAAAATTTTTGCTTCTTTTACCGGCAAGTAAAAAAACAACGCAACTTTCATTTTTCTTGGTTGATAAGTAAAAAAAAGACCAACAACTTGCATTTTCTTCACTAGTAAGAAAAAGAATGACAAAGTCCAAATGAAATTATAGATTAGCAAACCATGTTTGACTGAGTACAACGGGAYTCAAAAATGTTTATGAGATGTTTGACGTGTTGATATTGATAGAACCACGGAAAAAAATGTCTCATTCAACCTAAACACGCGGATAACTTTCCAAATGGGGAGAAAACCTCTTTTATATTTCACTAACATGAAGCAAGAGAACTCAAAAAATGTGACTATTTATGTTTTAAACAAAATTAGTTCTAAAATATTAAGGTATAACCATTTTGCTTTCTGTTTTTTGTTTTTAAAAATTAAGTTACTTTCACTTATGTGTTACTTTGTTTTGTAATATAGTTTTTATAAACATTATTAAAATAAACATAATTTTTTAAAGTAGAAAATTAAAAACGAAATAGTTATCAAACAGTCCATGAGTAACAATCAATAAAAATTAACAACTCGGTCTACARTTAACTAAATCAACATAAACTAATGCATTCTTCTTCTTCCCCGCATCACTCRTAGAGATATGCAGTTGATGTGTTTGAATTGTGAAACAAAACCCGAAATAATTTGTTTGATTTGTGAATTCACGACTCGTAAATTTCGGAACAAACAACTACATAGGTTCGATATCTCAATTTCAAACCATACAAACCTCACCTTTGAGATGGACTTTATCCTAAATGTGAGGGCATTGATAGAGCCAATAAATGGATGGCAGTGAAAGTGGGGAAAAAGGGAAGACAAGAGAGGGACAGTTTTGAACTTTGTCAAAGAAAAAAAGGTACTTGAGATTAAAATTGAGACACCTGTCGATACCTAATTGGTTCACAGTTGGCAGGGTGCCTTTTTTGACACTGTATTTAATCAACTCACAATTTGTCTTCTGCCCAAATTCCAAAACAGCCCTATTATGGATAAGTATGAAGAAAAATAGTTGTACAAGTCAAGACTCTCGTTTCTTATGGGATTCGAATTTTGTTTCTTATTTTCAGGTTTAGTGAATTCGATATGTGTTTGCCTTTTTCATTTTCCAAAATTGTTTTTGAATTGTACGATCTAGATAATATAAATTCTGAAAACAACATTTTTATATTTGAAATGTCTTTCAGATTTTGAATTTGAAGTTTTAAAATACATATTTACATTAAAAATGATAAAACTTTGATAAATGTATTATTTCAAGTTATAAACTCATTTAATTTTTGTTAAAATAAAAAAAAGGTCGAATATTATATAATATAAATTATATGCTATTATAAAATAATAATTCTACGGAATGTATAGCATATTAATAAATTAATTAATATTATTTTAGATTGAACTACATATTTAGTTGGCAACTATCATCGGTGTACAAATATATTTGAACAATTTTTTAGGTTTAGATTCGATTTTCAAATCTACTACTAAATGCATGTATAAAAACACAAAATACAATATTGTTTTTCATTAAATTCTTTGATTTCAGATAGCTCCTTAGTTTTATGAAAAATAAGGAAGTCGTGTTTGGATTAATATAAGAAAAATATTTAGATATTGACATGTCATCACCCGTCTTCCATCACCAATAAAAAAAAATATTTAGGTGCTAACTAGTGATCACCTTTTGATCATTATTGAAAAATTGATAGTTCGTTATTAAAGTGTGTATGTATATATAATATTTATTTATTTATCTTTTTTATTTGTCAATTTTCAGGAGTCGTTAGCACAAAGATAACCAACCTAAGTATTTTCAAAATATAGTTTATAAAATAAAAAATGTATATATAAATTTTGACGGGTAAACAAGTAAATATTGTTGTAAGTATAATATTACACCCAACAACTTCCATATATATTTTTTTACTAGTAAAAAAAATGGTACTTTTTTCTTCAATTAATAGTAAGTAAATGAAATACCCAAAACTCATTTTCTTCACTATCAAGTAAAATAATAGCTCTAAGAACTTTGCATTTTCTTCACTGGCAAGTAAAAGAATGGAACAAGAACTTTGCCCTTTCTTTCACTAGTAAAAATTATTATTTTCATCTTTATTTTTATTTCACCTTAGTTAAAAAAGTGAATTCGAGTGTACAATATCGAACTAATTTGAACATATATTAAAGCTACATAAAGATGTTGAATTGAGACAAGTAGTAGGCAAACTAGTGGTAAACTAATATCAAAGACGATAATATTTGTTCTTTTGAAAGTCGAGAGACTAAAACAAACGGTTGGTAAGTTGACGGAGGAAGGTTATTGTTTTTATTTTTTTATAAATTGATAAACTAAAACAAAAACATAAGTCCGGTCCCTTTTGTTGACTATAATAATGCTGCCTTAAATGGCTTTCCTAGTTTGCATCGACTCATCAAGTAACAAGATATTTTAGAACTTTCTTCAAAGGAAAAAAGAAAAGATATTTTAGGGAGATATTTCAGGCCCTTCTAATAATGCATTCGATCCTTTAAGAAAATAATAATAATAATAATAATAAAACAATGAATTCGTTTTTTTTTTTTTTACTTTTGTATTTATTTTGACAATTCCGATTCTGAGTAATTCTGTTGAAAAGAAAGTATTAGGGGTGTTGCTGTGGGGCATTATTCCAAAAGAATGAAAAGAAGAAAATCAAATCCAAAATTGGAACTTCGGTCACGTCGAAGAAGGTCAGTAAAACTCTTTTATTCTCTATCTGATTTTATGTAATTAGTTAAATGTGAACCAACCCAAATGGCACTTTAATTTATACCCGTGGATCCTAGTAGCCATCAACTTCGAATTTTCGTTAAATTTTAACAGATTTTTTAACGGTAGGGATTAAATAGTAACCAATTTTAGGGGTGAGCATCGGTCGGTCAGGGTCGATTTCCCACCTTAAAAACCAACTTCTATATCGTACCATATCGTTAGATCACTCTTCTTAGAGGATGTCAGTGTCATCGTCACTGGCCACCATTTTTCGTTCAACGTCTCCGAGATCGCTTATAGCCAACATGGTCCGACCAGCAGAAGATCTCCGACGCATTCGTTGACATCTTGAACTGTTTCCATTCATCGAGAATTGCCTGGAGATCATCAATCTTGGCGATGATCGTCCAACAGCAATTGGCATGGACAGTGGTAACTTGCTTGAAATCATTGCTCTTCTAGCAAAATCCGCTAAAAAAACAAAGTGTTCAAAAACCTAACATTGAGATTAAATTGTCGAAAAGAAAAAGTAAAAAAACCTCATTAAAAAATATCTATTTAAAATTGTTAGTAGAATACACGTTATTAAAAAGTAGGGATGTGACCCTCTTTAAGTATTAAATTTAATAGGTATCCAAATCTTAAAATTTTTGTCTAACATATCTCTGATTTATTAGACTATTTTTATAGTTGAATGATCTAATGGACGCAAAATAAAAAGTTCAAAATACTCATTTAATTTTACATTTTTTTGAAGTTTTAAAACCTATTAGAAACTTACATATATCAAATGTATTCAAACTCGGCTTTATACAAATTTAAATCTCCAACATAAAGCTCTATATTTGCGCGCGCGATAATACAACTTGTAGAACAGATTCTGATCATGTTCAAGTAAGATGGGTAAAATATGTCTTTGATTATCAGCTCCTTGAAAATCTACCTCCAAAACTATGTCTTATAGCTTTGTCTTCATTCTTTCGAATCGAAGACGGATAGGTTTCTCCAAAACAGAGACGTTTATGTTATACCAAACCTCTGATATTGTTGGAAGCTCTGCTATTTTCTCCACCATTTTCATGTCTTCCGGCAGAACCGAACCGAACACGGTGTATGGCGTACGCCACTCGTCGTGGTTGGCCAAGCTGATAAAGAATTCTGGGCCAGAACCAACCCAGGCAACTGAGCCTCTTCTAATGGTTGCACATTCTTCTTTAGGGATCTTGTTGAATATGATTCCATGGGCTTTAAGAGTTCCTTGGATTACACCAAACGGAGGACCATATGGAGCCTACAAAGCACACACAACTCCATGCTTTAATCAATCATTTTTGGGGAACATACCCATTTTTCTACTCCGATTGACATTAATCTCTCTGATGAATCCATCAAAAGACGGAAAATGAATGACTTGAGTAACAACTTTAGCCATTTTCATTCGTTGAACAATCAAGAAGTAATGAGTACACATTTCATTAATGATGTTTAGTCATTTCAGAGCAGAGCTTAGATATGTTATGCTTACATTTTCGACATGATCCCCGTTCGAAAACCAGAAGCTTCCGCGAGTTTCTGCACGGTAGAATTGGCAATCCAAACATTGTCTCGATGCTAAGAGCTCGAGAATATAGTTCACAGAATGCGGGGCGCAGGCAGGAAAAAGCTGAAAGAGAGACAGTCAAATATCACGTCAATTCATAATCCTCACTATATTTCCTAAGGAAGTCCGGTTGATGAATGCCGCAAAAAATACAAGGAAAGTAGAAGAACAACGAGAGTAGCTTTATCTTTGAAAGCAATGTCCACCAAAGAAGAAATAGAGCAGACTTGTTATATCCATATGGATTAGAAGGCCTAGGGACAGTAAATGGATGATGATAAATCAGCAAGAGAATAATCTCAATGACAATGATGCTTGAGAAAGTCCGACAACTTATTAGACGCTTTCAAAATTTAAAGTGAACTATTAGACACAACTCTGAAAGTTCAGGATTTAACCAATTTTCTATAAATTCGAGAAATGGGCTGAACTCGCTTCATGCTCAAGCATCATGTGATTAACAAATAAGCATACACGATGTAACTCGATAGCAAAAGTGAACAAGAGTATGATAAGAAAGTCGAGGAATGTGTACAAACACTATTTTATAGAAGAAAACAGCAACATGAAAGCCACAAATTTCAACCAACCTCAATGCGGAAAAGCCCATACTCTGTCTCCAAGCCAATAATTCCCTTTGAAAAAGAGAAAACAGAGAGAGGCCATTTATTCAGTGAGCCTCAGAACAGAATATAGACGAAAAAAATTGAAGCAAAAGTTCAATGATATGATATGATATGAAGAAATCCAAAAGGGATAATATACCTGTGTTTTTGTAAACAGGAGGCCAGAAGTCCACATGACATGATCTCCTGATTCATGCCGCATAGGGCTCAGAGTATCCTCCTGTTTCTTCAACCAGCACTGACACGCAGGGGAAACTATAATCTTCAAATTAATAAAAAAGAAATAAAAATTGTGCAGAACCATTTTGCTTTTGATTTTCTATTTCTTAATATGAAGCTTCACTTCAATCTACAGTTTAACATCTTCAAAATCTAGACCAAGTTCATGTTTGATAACAATTTTATTTTTAGTTTTCTGTTTTTAGAATGCTATGCCGGCTTCCTCTCTCGATTTCTTTGTTGTATTTTTCGACATGCTTGGAAGTATATTTGAATTCTTAGTCAAAATTTCAAAAATAATAATAATAATAATAATAATCAAACAACTTTTTCCTTAAATTGTGGCTGAGATTTTGAAGACTTTTTTTTTTCTTTTAAATATGTAATGAAGCTAAAAGTAGTGTTTATAAGCTAAAATGCAAAACCGAAAACAAAATGGCTAAAACATGGCCTAAAGAAAAGCAGCTCTCAAACATTTGTTTTTGTTTTTGAAAGTAGACTCATAATTCAAGCATGTTTGTAAGAAACTCAAAAACTTATGAGAACGTATAATCTTAGAAATAGAAAACTAAAAATGAAATCACAAACATTCCTGAGTATTCTTTTTTTCTTTTGTTTCTCGAGTTTGAACAGGAGAATTATTCATTCATAAACTCGTTCTCAAGGTTGCAATGAGTTTCCCACAGAACACCCAAAAATGGAACAAAAACAGAGAGAGGAAGCCAAGCCATACCTCGCCAAATCTTGGTCCGCAAGCAGATGCATTGCCACAGAAAACCCAAGAATCACACAAACACCGCCCGGTCCCGCCTACACACATGGCTTTACAAGCCATACAACACTCCCTCGACGAATTCAACTTGAAATTAGAGCCCCATTTCACAGCATTTCCCCACAGCTCCAAATGATCGGCGCCTCGGCAACACTCTCGATGCTGACCGGAAGCAGCAGAAGAAACATCGACGGCAATCGATGGGATGGTCGCGGTTTGGAAGCGATAGACCATAATGCAGGAGAAAATGCCGATCAGGAAAAGGATCGCGAGCGTGCAAACACCGCGTTCGGCGTCGCTTTGCCTCCGGCCCATCTGAACAGTGGATCGGAAATTGGCGACGACGGACTTCAGATTGGCGGAGGAATTGATTGTGAATGTTGTTGAAAAGAGGGTGGGAGGAGCAGCGATGAAACCTAGGGAACAGATTGCAATGGCGCTGGGTTTCCATATATTACCAGGTTTCCTTATTCTCCAATTGGCGGTTACTCTTCTTTCCCACCATTTGCAGACTGCAGAGGCAAAACGACAGAATCGTTGAAAAATGAAAGCCAGCGGGCGGGAGTGAAAGAAGACATGATCGCATCCATGGCCGACCTTTCGAGAATTTGCTCTTGGAAAGTGGAAACTGAATCGAGTAACTAGATTCAATTGCAATGGGATTTTATCGGACATTATTAATTTAAATTTATATATAGTTCTATCCTCTTCCATTTAATTTCATTTGATACTTCCGGATTTCTCTCACAAGAATTTATTAATAAGATAATCCTTTTTCTTTGGATATCAAATCACAGCATAAAATGAAATGCAGCACTGCAACCATTAAATTTGGTTGCATAAGTAATTAAGGACTGTGTAGTGAACATTCATTAAAATTCTAAATTATAAATTTTAAAATTCAGAATTTTTACAAATTTGATAAATGTTAACAAAATTTTCCCGAGCACTAATAGCTCACAACTTAACAATGAAGTTGTGATTTCAATCCCCATCCCAGGTACTAAAAAACAAAATTTTACCAATTCGATCCCCAATGCTCTCCATCCCAACATGTTGGACTAAAAAAACAAAATTTTACCAATTCGATCCCCAATGCTCTCCATCCCAACATGTTGGACTAAAAAAACAAATAAACAAGTAGTAGGGGTTAATAGAAGTTCGAAAACAAAGTTAATTTCACATTCAACAATTAATTTAAATATTTAGTTGACAACTATCACTAATTTACAAACATTTTACTAAAAATATTGAATAATTCAATAAATTGAAGTTTCTGAATTCACTAAATACAACGCACCCTAAAACAATGCTGGAATACTTGTGTAGTGATTTCGTCCTTTTTTTTTTATTTTTATGATATTCCAAAAATATCCAACACCCAACATTTTATAAAAATATTCATCAATATTCATCAACGTTTGCATGAAATTGCTGCCACCATCTGTTAATATATTTGGCCTGTAGACATTTTAACAATTAATATACTTTGCCAATAGCCATTACTAACAGTTGGGAAAGCCGTTTCAGGACTAACGATTGTTCGACCACGCATCTGATAGCAGAAAGGACGTGACATTTATAATTCAGGCTCAAACGTATTTAACTAATCAAATGAAAAAAATCAATCAAGAAAAATGTACATAGTTTACACGAAGATATTGAAAGGGTTATGTCTATTAGCATGTACAAATAAAGATAATATAATAACAAAGGAAAAGCTTAGCCTTTTCATAAGCTGTGTGCTGCACCACGAAAAGCGCCTCCACCGGGTGCTTAGTACTAATCAAATCAATCTCCTGAAAACTTTGTAACCAATAAAGTAGAGAGGAAGAAGACGACCTCAAATTTAAAAATACTTTTTATCACTAAGAAAACCAATCAAGCCAAATTCCCACACAAAAGGTCAAACTACGAAGAAAAAGGAAATGAAAACGGCTCAAAGTCTGTAAACACAGAACTCGGCGCCAGTTTCCCAAGCAAATAATCTCAAAACAGTTG